GAATAATTTTTTGTTGAGTTGCAGTAACTGGTTGGTTTTCGCTTTGTCTGTTATTCAGCTTAAGCCTATGGAGTCGTAACAATATATACCTCATGACTAACCTATTGCTTACTGCCACAGAAAGCCGTCATGGATATAAAAATTTGGCGAATTTATTCCGGAAATTATTGAATGGTCTTGGTTTGGTTTAAAGGTGGTTAAATATATATTTTTCGAACATAGTGGCTTTCTTATCTTTGATTTAAAAAAAAGAACAAACGGCTGGCTGAACAATTTATTCAGAACTGGAACGCTGGTATCAGAAAATCTTTGAGAACTAGATTATATACCAATGTATTTCACATTTGGCTATGTGGAGTAATTATACAGAATAATATTAACAGAATTAGGAAAATCCTTGTCAGACATGGAATGCCTGTTCATGATTTACATACTGGATCAAAGAGATAGAAAAGACCACATAGTAACGTACTTCATCAAACAACTTGAATTTTTTTCCCAATGAGCTGAAAAATGAGTTTCACTTTGTCTAAGCATGTCGATACGATAAGAAAAAGATATAAAAAATCTTATGTTTGGAAAGGCCCCGTAGGTTGAAATCAGCGGTGTAGTGCAAAATAAAGAATTGTTTAATGCCATAAAGAAGTGAGAAAACATATGTTACTCAGACGCGAGGGGGAGGTAGATGACAATGGCGAGAATAAAATAATAAGAGAAAACGCAGAAAAGTAAGGAAACGCCCTTCCCCGTGTTCCAGCAGAACTACGCCCCTTTTGGATATGTATTAAATTACTAAATTCCACGATATTTACCAAGATTTGAAATCTTGGAAATTATGTTCAAAGATCACTAATTGTAAAAAAAGGATACTGCTACTTAAAATGACATCAATTTGCATGATTTAATTAATTAAAATTATTTATTATTATTATTATTATTATTATTATTATTATTATTATTATTATTATTATTATTATTATTATTATTATTAAAATGACATCATTTTGGATTATTTAACTAATTTGTTATTAATTATTATTATTATACTGAAAATGACATCAACTTGCATTATTCAATTAATTTGTTATTAATTATTTTTATTATACTTAAAATGACATCAACTTGCATTATTTAATCAATTTGTTATTAATAATTATTATGCTCAAAATGATATCAACATGCATGATCTAATCAATTTGTTATTAAGTACTATTATTATACTAAAAATGACTTTATTATTATTTACAATTTTCTGCCGAACTTCCTTTCATGCTATCTCCAATTAATTCTTACGATACCGCTAAAAAAAAAATATGTCTGAATACCACTTATATAATAATGAGTTTTTGAAAGAACTTGTTTTAAACTCACACGTGATTGAACAAAAGAAGAATGGTTTGTGTTTTATATGCTGCATCATACTTTATGTATATATTCATCCAGGTACGATCTGTTTGTGCGTGTGTGTCTATGTATGTCATCATCATCATCATCATCATCATCATCATCATCAACAACAACAACAACAACAACAACAACGTATGTAGTCCCTGCTGGGGCATAGGCCACCAGCAAACTCTCCAGCCACCCTGGTTTTGATCAAATCTCTCCAGTTGTCCCATTGCGTGGCCTGTTTTCTTTATGTCCTGCTGCCAGGTGTTTCTTGGATGGCCTCTCTTGTATGTATGTATGTATGTATGTATGTATGTATGTATGTATGTATGTATGTATGTATGTATGTATGTATGTATGTATGTATGTATGTATGTATGTATGTATGTATGTATGTATGTATGTATGTATGTGAGCGCATATATATATATATATATATATATATATATATATATATATATATATATATATATATATATATATATATATATATATATATATATATATATATATATATATATATGTTTTACAAATTCAACGCAACGATGCCAATAAATGGCAAGAGATATTAAGCAAACTAAACTGCTCTTGTAAATCAATTAGTATAGTTCAACGTTCTAAAAAAAATAAGCTATTATGTGGAAGAGAAATAACAATAAAGATGATGTAATGTATTTACAACGTCTTGTTTACGGGGAAAATGACTAAAGAACTTAGAAACAGACTATACGAAAGGGAAATTCTTGAGAATCCCGTTATAGCGCCAAGTTGACATGTTGGGTAGCAGGCGATTTTTTACGTGTGGGACAATTTTCAAAATTAGCAACTTTGATTAAGATGCAGAATTTTTTAAGGTATACATTTCCATCTTTTATATAATGTATTTATTTGTATAATTTTAAAAGATACATAGTAAATAGGATTTTCTGGGATACAGGTTAAAGAATTGTCCTGAAGTGGGTCTTCATATTAGAAATCATATTTTCATATGCATTAGAGTCAAAATGTGGGATTTATGATATAAACTAGAGGTCTTCAAACTGGATTGCGAACACCTTGTGTGCACATCCTTGCAGCAGGTGGTGTATTAACCTTGCATAGAATACCCAGAAGATGTCATTGGAAACAAAAAGTTTGAGAACCAATAATCTGTTGTGTGTGTGTGTGTGTGTGTGTGTGTGTGTGTGTGTGTGTGTGTGTGTGTGTGTGTGTGTGTGTGTGTGTGATTTAAAGCCATTTGTTCAGAACATGATAGACTACACATGGCTACCACTCTATTTTGTTAGACCCGTAACGATATCAGGCAGAACCATACCCAAGGGTATCTACTCACAACACCCATGATAATCTGGCTGAGACTCGAACTTAAGTGGACATATGTAGGATGTGTTTGATCTGTAAAGGTGAGCGTTTTAGACCACTCGGTAACACAAGACCGGGAATCGCTGATCTAGACTAAACTATCCAAAATGCATGTATTTCTTAAGTTCACTACGAACAAAACAGGTGTGAAAAAGACAGGATGTAGTGTGTCGTGTTTCATTTTGTTGATGTTTTTGAGTCATTCTAATCTCCCTAAACAGTAAATACTGTTTGGAGTCACTCTAATCCCCTTCAACGCTATTGTTTTGAGACCTTATAATCACTTTGAACAGTATGTATTGGTTTGCGTCATTTTATAGTCGTTCACTTTCTGGTAAACATTTGGTATTGTTTTGAGGTGTTCTAATCCCTTTCAGAATAATTACTGTTTTGTGTTGAATTAGTCGCTTTGGACATCTATTATTTTTAGTCATTTATTTATTTTTAGGATATATCTTGATAGTTTTCAGTTTCACTTTTGACAATGACGTATGTGGCTGACATGTCAAGAGTTTAGCAATGTCTTCAACAAAATTTTTAATGGTCCATATTCTTGGAAAATGCACTTATTTATAACAAACAAGGAAATGCCACTATTTATGACATCCTCAATCCGTGTTGGCGTGTTTAAAATCCTTTGTTTCCGGGTCAAAGGTCGAGTGAATGAATCAGACGTTAGAGATATGATAAAATGTACAGTATCAACTGATCGTTTATAAATAAAAATTAGAAGCTGTGATTTCACTCAAAGCAGAAGCTTGAAATTGTGTACATTTTGCCAATTGTGATGTATTTGTTTTTGAAGAAATATTTTTTTCTTGGGGGTGGGGGGTGATATGTCTGATGAGTGGTAAGTAATATATATATATATATATATATATATATATATATATATATATATATATATATATATATATATATATATATATATATATATATATATATATATTACTAATTTATGAATGAAGCAGAATATCGTAACGCTGTGACTAAAGATATTCATTAAAATTGATAGGACAGATTGTTGTGTTTACACACCGCAAAACAGGCGCTAATTCGGAACCACCTTTTTCTTTCCAGCGCGCAATCCCACTGAACACTCCAACTGCACCATGGCCATTGTACCGTTCATGTTGCAATGCTGCATCGTCGCCACGGGAACAAGGTAATAAGGAGCTAAAACTTCAGCGTTACGTATCTTAACCATGTTATCATTTTAATCCTTTATACCTTGCTCATCACATATTGTATACCGAGTATATTTCAGATAGGATACTTACGAAACTATGGTAATAATCAAGGCAATTGATGTAATTAACGATAGTGATGTGAGCTATGTTTGATTATGTAACAGGTTAGGACTTACTTGCTATCGCCAAGTTATAGTGACCACGATATCGAATTATCACGATATCGAATTATCATCCAAACCAGATTTGATCAAAACTACGTATATTCAAGCAATATAGTGAAGAGCTAATTCTGCTGAAGTTACGGATTATATATATATATATATATATATATATATATATATATATATATATATATATATATATATATATATATATATATATATATATATATATATATATATATATATATAACAAACTAAAGTTATACTAGCGTGGCAAAGCAAATCGATGAATAAAAGTCACTGTTAACAGCTCAAGACTGAAGCTTATTACGGAAACGATTGTCGTACAACGTACTAATGAGAGTATTTTCCGATTGGGAGCGGTCTATGGCCTAACATGGGCCCTACACGGAATTTTTGGTTAAAAACAAGAGCGTAGTGTATCCTTTCAATTGATTTTAAATTATCTCTTCGAGAGGTCAATCGTAAGAGGTATGCGTGCTTTGCCAATCTTGCTACAAACGTATAATATTAAATTTGCAGGATGTCGCGGTTTCGAACCCCGGCCGAGTCTTATCAGAGACTTATAAGCATGATACTAACATGTCATTAAGTACTAAGAACTTACTGCGTCAAAATTATACATATATTTAGTGTGTGTGTGTGTTTGTTTCTGTGTGTAATTTTAAATTTAAACGTAGTTTTAACAATTTCTCAGTCATATCGGCAAGATATCTGCAATGTGGCAGATTGTAGTAATGACAGATATGTAGCATGATATCCCACCCAGCCACATTATCCAGACACTAGGGTAGCCAGTCCTAACAGTAACCTTTTAATACTTAATGTCTAACGAGGCAGCTGTTAGTACCATTTTTATATGTCTTTAGTATGACTCGGCAGGGATTCGAACCCACGACCTTCCACATCCGAGGCGGATACTTTAACCACTTAACCACTAGGCCACTTGAGCGGTATATCATATTTAGTATTAACACATTTTGTTCGTTTTACAGAATAAGTAACTCTAAACGGCGCAATCATGGAACGGCAGTTTAAATCAGCCTACCTCTAGACGATTGTCTTTGTTTATCCAACCGTATGACATGTTTTAATATTTTTGATTGTAAGTTTATAATTTGTAAATAAAGAAATCATTCTCATCTTTCAGTTCTGTTCACATCTAAAACGGTTTGTTGACGGTGAAATTTAAGAAAAATGTGCGTATTAACAGTTTCCACTCTAGGATACTGTTAACTGTGTTTTCCATTTCTTGTATATGTCTGTTTGTCTGTCTGACAGCCAACTAAAAGCTATTAATCCCAACCACTCAACAAAATATATAATAAATTTGCTCGGAGTTTACCAAGTCTAGTAAAGAAATCCACTGGGATGACAAGTATTACCTATCCTTCAGACCTTTTAGTTCAAGTAGTATTGGAAATTTTTAAAATGGAGTAAATATATTTAGAAAACAGCAATAATGAACATTAACATACAAAACTGGAGTGGCCGAGCGGTCTATAGCGCTGTCCGTTACGGATCACTGCCATCTCACCTCTGTCTGCGTGGGTTCGAGTCTAGGATTCGGCGAATGTGGATAGTGAGAAAGCTTGCCAGTAGCTTCTCGTGGGTCGGTGGTTCTTTCTGGTGATTTCCCGGTTTCTTCCTCCGCCATTAATACTTGCCGCCATGAATAGCCTATCGTGTGCTTAAAAAATGGCGTAAACCTCCACAAGAACAACAACAAAACTAGATAATTAATTACCTATCTTTGTATAATATCACTTGTTACTGTAAGAGAGCGCGACCTTAACCTGTAGTAGTACTACTGAGATCCAGCGGGCATTGACTTCAGCCTGTACCGCTATCTAGGTATGGAGTGCATTAACTGTCAGCGTTATGTCTAGGAATGAGTTTTTATAAGTTAATATATGACACTACTTGAGATATACCTGGCTTTGACTGGCCATGAAAAGTGAATTTATTGCATAACTCATATCCTTCATTAAACACTAGATATTCGCTTAATGGCTGTGACCATTTCGCTGACATACTGGTGAAATATAAAATATAAAAAAAAATATAAATGTAAAATATACATAAAACTCTTTCACGACACAAGCTTTATTTTCATTGTTCCTAAATAAGAAACTGATTTAACTGTAATATTTAATATCTATATGTTTGTATGCCTGTCAATGTATATATATATATATATATATATATATATATATATATATATATATATATATATATATATATATATATATATATATATATATATATATATATATAACGAGAGAGAGAGAGAGAGAGAGAGAGAAAGAGAGAGAGAGAGAGAGAGATTGAGAGAGAGAGAGAGAGAGAGAGAGAGAGAGAGAGAGAGAGAGAGAGAGAGAGAGAGAGAGAGAGAGAGAGAGAGATTCGGAATAGCTAATAATGTGCATGTATAAGTTCTTGTTATTGAAAATTAAGTACGTGTTGTTCCAAGTCGAGCATGCATCACCATGGCCAAATATCTCTGTAATTGCAGATAACAATAACATGGATACTGTTGAACTCAGGTCCCATTCCAAGCGGATCCCAAGCACTGAGCACTGCATCTCCATAATTTGAACCATACATTAGCGGAAGACGCGCGGACAGACGAATGACACCAGAACATCTCTTATAAGATGGCGGATCGGTATTTGGTTTGGCGCACGTGACACTGCATGGTCGACCACATTTATCATGAGCAGACAATATGGCATCCGATATGCCCGAACCAGGGTTCTTAACTCCTATGTAAACTACCGTGGAACCATACGGCTGGCGTACATCGGATAATACATAGTCCACGTATGTTCCATAATAAGTCAGGCCATCGGAGCGTACATAGATTTGACCAGCACCCGAAGGGTCAAGGTCGCAGTTTGGATATGCTTTAAGATCTTCACTTTTTACATACGAATGCAAGTTGGGATAGAGAAACGGTGAATATATATCTTGAACGTACTGCACTTTGCCGTCTTGAATAGGATACGAGTGAAAGTGATATCCATTGGGCCTGATGTAAGCAATTTGAATTGGAATGTATACCCAGTTGTCGATGTCATTATCACCGTTTATAAAGTATGTGTTTTGCATTGTCCCGCTTATAGCCCCTGTACACGATGACGGTGTCTCCAGCACGAACATGCTTCTTTTTCGTCGCGGAAGTTCCGTTGATGACGTCGGCGATGTTGCGATTTCGCTACGCGTTTTAGAGACACAAATATCGTGATCGATGTCACATATGAGGTAAAGAGATCCGCAGTCGGGTCTGGCACGGCTACAGGATGGTGACATTTCGTATGTGTACCATGAGTCGGTCCAATAATTGGCATAGCCATCACTTGCTCGATGTTGCTGAAATGCATGCATTTCTCGCTGAGGCGCATGATCACCAACAACGTTTGGATAATTAGCTTCAGGATTGATTCCACATACTGTCAACTGACGTAGCCGGAAGAGTTCCCATACGTAGTCTACAAAAGCATGATGTAGGAAAAACACTGGATCAAATGCAGCAGTATCTAACATTTCCATATTGCCTCCAACCCAGTTGTGCACCCTGTTGTGATAAATCTCGAGATTGTATATACCAGTCTCGCGAGGAAACGTGATCTCCGAGGTGTCACACCTGGTTAGTACGGTATCCACGTCTTGTTTGGACATTAGAGCGCCCTGATGGCCGGTATTACGTATAAGAGGAGACCCGTTGACGACCCAACCGGAGAACGGACCTGACCACACGACTCCATCCCCATTGCCAAGGAAAGTAGTTGACCATAAGACTGACTGAGTCGGATCACTCAGTGGGAAATCCAAGGTATAGTCCCAAAATGGCAAAGACAGGGAGTTGTCATGTCTTCGAACGGCTTCTTCAAAGCTGCAATTTAAACATATTCATCGCTAGCTTTCGATAATCAAGAGAAAAATGACTGTAATTTGCCATGAGATCACTTTATCTTAAATATACTGGGAAAAATAATGGCAATTTTTCGATTCGTATCGCATTCAATCAAAATAAAGCACATACTGCCGTGACGAGATGGGAAAGCAAGTTCTCAACATTTTTGTTTTTATTTAAGGGAGATATTGGTTCCATTTATATATATTTATACGGTCATGTGAATCGTAAGGTATATCATTTGAAATCATTTGTTTTAAAAAAAAATCTGAATGGTCTTAAATAATTAAAATGCTCCTGCTTTAAATACTATATCAACACGTTCAAGGAAAGGTGGAAGAAAATTTTTTTAAGTATGCATGGAATTTAATGGCATATAGTAAAATCTTGGCTTTGTAGTGCCAATTAAAAGTTACGTTCCAAAACTGATAAATCTAATCGTCCTGTAAAATAAATATTTAAGAGGGTAAATGCATACAAAACAACGTAAGGTTATTGTTGCACGCGATACAATGTAAACATTTTAAATTCTTAAAAGTGTCTATATAGTTAAAATAAATTAATTTTATTTTAAAAGGGTATAAGAAAAAAGGGTTAATGTTGTCTTTAAAATATTGCAAATTGTAATAGACACATACTGTTAAATTCTCAGCAATGTGTTTTTTGAAGACTATTTTGTTTCAGAAAAGACAAGACATCTTAACATGGCTGGCCAGACACACACACACACACACACACACACACACACACACACACACAAACATATATATATATATATATATATATATATATATATATATATATATATATATATATATATATATATATATATATATAGATGCAATAAACTGACGACGAACAGTACGAAACTAGTAACTAACTAGCCTAAGCGCTTTCAACTCTTAATGAGTCTTTTTCAAAGGCAAATACAAAACATAGTTACGACAAACAAATAAACACAAAAACGTTGTGTTTGTAAACTACATTTCTGTCTTCACATGTGCTAAAACTATAAATACAACCAGCTTGTATAGACTAGTTGCGGAAACTGAAAACGTTGTATAATTCCCTAAAAGTCTACAAGCCAAAGCGTCATCTATTTTTACTTTGTGTACATATGTAACGCAGATTATATCCCGGATATTTGATTCTATACCGGTTATTCTTATAGTAAAAATTGAAGGATAATAAGAAGATTTAGAAAATGTTAAATTCTACTAGTGCATAGTTTTCATTTTCTAGTCTTCTTGGTTTAGACCGCTTGGTTTCAATGTTCTAAGGCGGCGTATCCAGTATGATTCCTTTTCCTTCCTGGTTTCGGAACTTCAGCTGTGGTTGTTAGCAATAGCGATAAGTATTATATCACTGAAAGTGTGGCCAGGGGAGGAGAAGTGTTCTGCGACCGGGCTTCTGTACAGCTTTTTTGTCATCCAATCAGATCTATGAAGGTTTATCCTTTTGTGTAGCTTTTCAGTTCTCCCACGTACTGAAGGCCACAGATCTTACATGTGATGAGATAAATCACATTCTCTGTTTTGCACGTTTTGTTTGGACCATGTTTGTTTAGTTTTTCTTTAGTCACTGTGCTAGTGAATGTCTTGGTCTCTATCATATGTTGACAGGTTTTGCATCTTTTATCGCCACAGGCTCCAGATTGACTAGGTTGGTTTTGACTAGCGATTGTTGTTAGCTTGGCCCTGACTAGGATGTCCTTTAGGTTTTTTGGTCTCCGGTAAGCTACTACAGGTTTGTTCGGAAGTATTAGGTTTAGTATGTCTGACGATTGCACGGTTGGCCAGTGGTTTGCGAGGATTTTACCTACTTTGGGATTGTTTGTCGTAGCCTCGGTAAATTAAATGTTTAGACCTAGCTGGCTAAACATTTAATTTTACCGAGGCTACGACAAAGACCTGATTAATTTACCGAGGCTACGACAAAGACCTGATTGCGGAGGCAATCCAAAGGGCCAAACAAACAAACCGTGATGACCTACTCAGATATGGACAGAAAGAAAAGGTTGATAGGATA